ATGCCCGGATCAAGTGAAGGATTGCTTGAAATTGGGCTAGGGTTTGATGCAAATTCTGATGTTAGCAAAACTAGGGTTGAGAAGTCGGATATGGAAAAATTGGGGAAAAAGAAAAGATCTTCTGAGATCAAATCTGGATTTGATTCTGATGATGATGATGAGCCGATTGGTTCTATGTTTAAGATTAAAAACAGAAGGAACCCTAAGAAGGTTAAGGTTCAAAATGATGTGTCTGAAGATCAGGAGTTCGGTGGTATGGATGACACATTGGCTACTTTTAGAAAGAAAATAAAGGGCCCAAAGGTGGCTAGGGCGAGTGCACCAAAAGGTAGTGATTTAAACACCGATTTGAATGAACCTGTGAATGAATCATCAGTTGGGGCTGTGAAAAATGAAGATTTGGCTGCAAAATTGGTCCCAAACACAATCACAAAAGAACAGATCCCATCTGAAGATGGAGTTATTGTCAGAGAAGGGTTGAAAAACAGTGGTAAAGAGAAAAGTAAGAAACCCAAGAATAAACCAACAAAGAAGAAGGGTTCTGGTGGCAAGAATTTGACAGAAAACTGTGTGGATGATCATTTAGAAGATTCCTTATCAGTTTTGCTTCAGAAAGCTCGCAAAAGCTCGAAACTTAAGCAGGTTAAGTCAACTCAACCTCATAAAGATGGAGTTGACCAAAACCCTAATGATTCAGTGTGTGATTTGGATACCACTCCAGTTGAGAAATCACAAAATGACAAGGATATGGTTCCTATTTCAGTACCTGAATGTTCAAAGTTTTCTCCCAAGAGTCAAAGATTAGAAGAAGATGAAAGGTTACTAGACCACTCTAGTAAAGATCCTACTGGAAACAATGGTTTTAAAGATGATTCAAATCATTCTGTTATAGCAAAGTTGTCCCATGATCTTTCCGAGATTCAAGTTCATAATGAAAAAAAGGAACCTTCAAGTCCTATCCATGAGAGTCTGCCAGTTATAGAGTCCATTGACCGTTTGGACGATAATCAACACCAGATTCAAGGTACTTCAATGGAAGATCCTGAAAATGTTTCTGTTTCTTCACAAAAGGAGAACACATCAGCATCAAATGGTAGATTATCTCCTGTTTCATTAGGAGAATGCAATGAGGAGACTCCATCAATTGCCACAGATCAAAATGAAGCATCTGCAAGTGACAATGAAACGAAAGAAAATCATCAAACAGTTGGCAGGCGTATTGTGAGACAGGCTAAAAGGCATAGGCATGATGACATGGCGTATGAGGGGGATGCTGATTGGGATATACTGATTCATGAACAGAATTTTCTTGCAAATCATCAAGAAGGAGGAGACAAAGGACATCCAATTAAAACAAAGGGCAAACAAGATTTCTTCATGGAAGCAGAAAGTGGTGGAACAGCTGCTGTTTCAGTTGGACTCAAAGCTCGTGCTGCTGGACCTGTTGAGAAGATTAAATTTAAAGAATTATTCAAACGTAAAGGAGGCCTTCAAGAATATATAGACTGCAGGTTCATTTCTATAAATCTTTTTTTTTTTTTTTCAGTTTCAAGAATATTTAACATCTCATTCTCATCATATTTGTATACTCTTACTACAGGAATCATATTCTACATCTCTGGAATAAAGATGTAACTCGCATATTGCCTCTTTCAGAATGTGGAATATCTAATGAACATCCACAGGCTTCTCTTGTTAAAGATATCTACTCATTTCTTGATCAATATGTAAGTTCTTCAGATCTCTTTCTTGAAAACAACTCAATTTTCGTTTCTAACAAGATATTCAACAGGGTTACATAAACTTTGGAGTTGCTTCCAAGAAAGAGATGTCAGATACAAATGTGAAGCACAATTTCAAGCTTTCAGGAGATGACAACAGTGGAAGAAAATCATTGGATGATGGGGTTTCCTTTATTCTTGGTAGTACTACTAAAACTGATGAAAACTTGACAGATGAAAATGATCCAAAAACCGAACTTTCAGAAGGGGTTTTCAGAAAAGATAAAGTCGCTGATGTGTCATCCATGTTGGCAGAGTGTAAACCCCATTCACCTTCTTCCAACTGCCATGCTGGACAACCACCCCACAATCTTGTAATTGATCAAAAGGAACCGAGTGTCTGTATGCAATGTGATTCAGAAACAAAAAGCAAAAAGATCATAGTAATTGGAGGGGGTCCAGCTGGACTAACTGCAGCCCGCCATTTACAGAGACAGGGGTGCCACGTCACCATCCTAGAGGCCAGGGGTAGAATCGGCGGACGTGTTTTTACAGATTATTCATCCCTTTCAGTTCCAGTAGATCTTGGAGCTAGTATTATCACTGGTGTAGAAGCTGATGTCACCTCACAAAGAAGACCAGATCCTTCTTCATTAATTTGTGCACAATTAGGGCTTGAATTAACTGTTTTAAACAGTGATTGTCCCCTTTATGACACAGTCACTGGTCAAAAAGTTCCTACAGATTTAGATGAAGCATTGGAGGCTGAATACAACGGTTTACTTGATGACATGTCATTGGTTGTTGCCCAAAAGGGTAATCAAGCAATGCAGATGTCTTTAGAAGAGGGTTTGGAATTAGGGCTCAAAATCCGAAGATCTGAAGACAATAAAAATAGTAATAAAGATGAAATCTTGAATCCTCTTGAAAGAAGAGTCATGGATTGGCATCTTGCTCATTTGGAATACGGTTGTGCTGCTTCTTTACAAGATGTGTCTTTACCTTATTGGAATCAAGATGACATTTATGGCGGATTTGGTGGGGCCCACTGTATGATTAAAGGTGGTTATGGTGCTATTGTTGATTCTTTAAAAGATGGACTACATATCCACTTAAACCATATGGTTACCGATGTATGCTATCAAACAGAGAAAGATGGGAAAGATTCATCACAGAAGAAAGTCAAAGTTTTGACCCAAAATGGGAAAGAATTTAGTGGAGATGCGGTTTTGATCACAATCCCACTCGGGTGTCTAAAAAGAGAAACAATCAACTTCTCTCCAAAATTACCTGATTGGAAACATTCTTCAATCCAAAAACTCGGTTTTGGTGTTCTTAACAAAGTCATCTTGGAGTTTCCGGAAGTTTTTTGGGATGATTCGGTTGACTATTTTGGAGCTACAGCAGAAGAAACCGATCAAAGGGGTTGGTGTTTTATGTTTTGGAATGTCAAAAAGACAGTCAACGCCCCTGTCCTCATAGCATTAGTAGTAGGAAAAGCTGCAGTCAACCGCCAAGATTTGACCCCTTCTGACCATGTCACACACGCCTTAGCAACCCTCCGGAAGCTTTTTGGGGAAACTAAGGTTCACGATCCAGTTGCATCTGTAGTAACTGATTGGGGGCGGGACCCGTTTAGCTATGGTGCTTATTCATATGTTGCAGTAGGGGCATCTGGGGAAGATTATGACACATTAGGAAAACCTATTAACAACTGTTTGTTTTTTGCTGGTGAAGCTACATGTAAAGAGCATCCAGACACTGTTGGAGGGGCAATGATGAGTGGGATGAGGGAAGCTGTTCGGATAGTTGACTTGTTGACCACTGGAAATGATTTTGTTTCAGAAATTGAAGCCATTGCTGCTGCTAAAAGGCATTCAGATAGTGAAAAGAGTGAAGTTAGAGACATTATTAGGAAACTCGATGCTATTGATCTTACAAATGTTCATAAGCATGAGACAAAAGAAGGGTTGTTACAGAATATGTTTTTGAATGCAAAGAGTAGAGCTGGAAGGTTGCATCTTGCTAAAGAGCTGTTGAATCTTCCTTCTGATTTGCTTAAATCATTTGCTGGAACTAAAGAAGGACTTGGGATTCTCAACTCATGGATCTTGGTAAGTTCCTCTCTTGATCCATTTTATGTTTTTAAAAATATCAATATAATAATATTAACTAATATACCCTTTATGTGATATTACAACTAATAGGATTCAATGGGGAAGAATGGGACTCAACTATTGCGACATTGTGTTCGTCTTCTTGTGCTTGTATCTACAGATTTACTTGCAGTTCGTCTCTCAGGTATTTTATCTCATGTCATAAATTTATAAAATTTTGTGATTATTAATTTATATAAATGATTAAATGATAAAAAATACAGGTATAGGAAAAACTGTAAAAGAGAAGGTATGTGTGCATACAAGCAGAGATATACGTGCAATAGCAAGTCAACTTGTGAGTGTTTGGGTTGAGATTTTCAGAAAGGAGAAGGCGTCTAATGGGGGGTTGAAGTTGCTCAGGCAATCAAGTGCTGCAGATGCTTCTAGAACCAAATCTTTAGCTTCCGGGAAGCCGCCACTGCGGGCCCACCATACTTCATCGGAGAACAGGGCGGTGAAGGGCGGCGGCAGCAGCAACAACCCTTTATCTGTGAATCCAAACGGTAGAAAAGGAAAGCCTGAAAGTAAGCCTTCTAGCTCTCAAGGCTCAGGTGGAAGACAAAACTGTAAGGAGGAGGAGGACAAAGATTTTCCCATGTCTGAAGAGGAACAGGCGGCTTTTGATGCTGCTGAAGCCGCCCGTGCTGCCGCCATTGCAGCCGCCGAGGTTTGTCTTGTCTTTCTCAACTGTTTGAATATGAGTAGATGACCATTTTACCCTTCTGATAACTTTCTAATAATTTACAGGCATACGCATCATCCGGTGTCAAATGCAACACTCCTTTACAACTTCCAAAAATACCCTCCTTCCACAAATTCGCAAGGCGGGAACAGTACGCCCAAATGGACGATTCTGACCTCCGGAAGAAGCTAGCTGGCGGCAATATCGGGCGGCAGGATTCGACATCCGAAATCGATTCAAGAAACTGCAGAGTCAGAGACTGGTCGGTTGACTTTTCCGGTGGCGGAGTCAACCTTCCGGACACCCGGTCCCACCACTCAAACGAAGTGAGCAGCTACCGAGAACATTCCGGAGAAAGCACCGGTGTTGACAGCAGCAACATCTTTACAAAAGCATGGGTGGATAGTGCGGGGAGTGAAGGGATAAAAGACCATAATGCCATTGAAAGATGGCAGTCTCAAGCTGCAGCTGCTGTTGATTCTGAGTTTTATCATAGGGGCAGTTTTGTCATGGATGAAGAAGATTCAAATTCAAATATGAAATTGGGAATGGCAAATGAGAGTTCGGCTTCACAGGTGACTAGTGTGAATAGGGAGTTGGTGGGAAATCAGCCTAGAGGAGTAGATAATATCAAACAAGCTGTTGTTGATTACGTGGCATCACTTTTAATGCCTCTTTATAAAGCTAGAAAGATTGATAAAGATGGCTATAAATCCATCATGAAGAAAACAGCTACAAAGGTAAAAGGCTACGTTACATTACACCTTTTTTTTTTTTTTTTTTTTTCATTCTCAAAAAAATTATATTTGAATTCTGATTTTTTTTTTTTTTTAAAGGTAATGGAGCAGACTACTGATGCGGAAAAAGCAATGGCTGTTTTCGAGTTTCTTGATTTTAAGCGGAAAAACAAGGTATGGATTTGGATGAGGAGGGCGTTTATGTCTTTTTGTATTGAACCTTTATTGATTTGTTTTTTTTTTTTTTGATATTTAGATCCGGGCATTTGTGGACAAGTTAATAGAGAGGCATATGGCGATGAAGTCAGATACTAAATCTGGATGTTCGTGAACATGAACAATTTTATATGCTTTTAGAAAAAAATAATAATATAAAAAATAGGTGAAGTACAAGACAAGACAAGAGAGATAGATATGTTTATGTTTTTAAGCATATACTATCCTTTGTGGGTATTAGAGTTAGAGATATATGGTCACATCCATTTATGGAAAAAAAGTCTATAGAGTTATCATGACTTTTGGTATATGGGTTCTTTGCTAATTGAAATTGTAATTTAGTTAGGAAGTGAAAACCCATTTCTACCCTCCAGGGTTTCAATAGGACAATTTTTTTTTTTTCTTTTCTTTTTCTCCCAATTGATTATCTTTCGTGAAAATCTGTACAGCTTATTAGATTGACATTGACCCCCTGGCAACAACTTTATACAAGACAATTTTCTCTTAAAACACAATTCTTCCATTTTATGATCTCCTCAAACGAGGGCAATTACGTCTTTTCTTCGAGAGTGAGTCCCTATTGTTCCACATATTTGGTCGAGAGATAAAAAATTTAAGTTTTTTGTCCCTTGAAGTTGGTTATAGTCTTAGTATAATGTCAAACATAGTACAATATGTTGTGTCATGTGGGGCCTACAGGTGTCTGGTTGCTTGTTTTCTGTGTTTATGCAGAAAAGTATAGATGTTCATGGATGTATGAGGACGTGGCACTTATCATCGATCACAGTTATTTTAGAGGTTTGTTTTTGGTTTCCAATAATTATAAACTGGAATTAAAAAAAGGGATTAGAATTTATAAGTTTTTATTTTGGGATTTTGCTTACTGTTTTGTGGGATTTTGCCAGGAGAAAATAAACCACTAGACATGGGAGCATGGAATTTAAGGTTTGATTTTGCTTCGAATTTTAAAGTCGTTTTACTCTTATAATTCATATCATTAGTCGTCATGTTTGTCCACGTGTACGAGTGGAATTTGTCTATTTCAGGAGAGATTGAGGGAAAAATAAAAATAAAAATAAAAAGTTTGATATTCAAATGTATTGAGAGGTTGAGAGTCTTCATTCTTACAAATCCCAATGTATTGAGAGGGTGAGCAATTATTATAAGTGAGAGGGGTGAATGGAGAGATGTTTGATGAATTGGGAGAGAAAAAAATGAGAGGAAAGTGATGGCCTACACTACCCCTTAGTCTTATTGTATTTGTTTATACTTCAGTTATTTGTTTTTTAATTTTCGAAGTGTTTATATTCGAATTCTTAACTTCAAAATTCATAATTTTAGTAACAAAAATATGATATTTTACGTCTTTATGGTAGAGTTTTTAACAAAAGATGTGTACCACTAAATTTATTTACATGATATTAGCCGGTAAATAAGTCATGCCTATCAAATGACTTCTAGTATTATTATTATTTTTTTTTTGTCACAAATGTAACTAAACAAAATATTAATGGTTATTCTGTTTTTTATTAAGATTTATTTACATATTTTCTATAATGTGTTATTATTATAATCGTTGAGCAAAATATATGGATTTCTCAGAGTTTCTATTGTATTATCAAAATATACGTATTTTCAGAAAATATCTATTATCCGACTACGATTTAATTGTGGCCTTGAGCAACACAACCAATTCAAAAATTATAATACAAAAACAACATAAGTCGAAAATTGGGCATTGTTGATCAACCATAAGCACGACCATTTTCTCATCCGCATTATCATTCTCCAGTAGATGAATTTATTTGATCTTTCTAACAAAATTTATTTTATGTCATTGAAAAATAACTTATACTTAGGGCGTGGTGGTTTACGGTTTATCAGACGAATTCGGAAGAATTGGAATGTAAATTCTAATAAAAAATGCGTTTGGTTGGAATTCTACAAATTCCATTAAATTCAGTGTATGAAAGAATATAATTAAATTGCAAAACTGGTCCTCGTGGTATTCCAAAAAATACATTTTGAGTCTAATTTTTTTTTTTTTAAAATTCGTATGGTCATTCCAAATTGAATTTTACATGTAGATTTGATAACTCGAGTTAAATGTCGTCTAAAACCCACTATTAAGTCCCACATGTCTTTACACATAATGGCAATTTTTGTTCTTTATATATATATATATATATATATATATATATATATATATATATATATATATATATATATATATATATATATATATATATATATATATATATATATATATATATGCTAAGGTTATTTTGTTTTTTCTAACTATTACGTGTCAGGAAGCACAAATTTAGATCACTTGATGGAATAGAATCAAAGATCATAATCTGAGAGTCTATGATATTATAATAGGATAACATACACCATATAATCACACAATTTTCAACATATGTGTATAGTGGTCAATTTACGTATATTAAAAAAGGAAATTTTTGGATTTTAAGGGATAATTAATTCAACTTTAAAAATCCAATTTTATTATGTTAGAATGCCAACCATAAACTAGTAAATATATTTTCGATTTTATTCTTACAAAATACATTTCCAATGCAATTATATTTGATAATTGACCTGATTTAAGAATAAGATAGTATTCATATACATCCAACTTGGGTCTATGATTTTATTTTTAATATATATCCGAAATTAAATACAAATTCATACGTATTCTTACAGACTAATATTCTTATACATGTTAATATAGTGATACATATTCTAAGAGAATATCATAAAAAATGAATAAAATTCTTAAAAAATAGCATTCGTGAATATATAATTATTGAACAAATACACTTGATCCTTTTCAATGGTCCATATAATCAACTTGATCTTCACATATATACTTGTTGTTGAACTCGATTCCAAATATTTCTCTTGTATGATCAATATTGAATTCATTCTCCGTGCAATTCTGAAAGAATAAGATACATTACTCGTTAGTATTGCCAGTTAAACAAATATAATTGTTGTTAGCAAACATTCTTAAAGATATTTTAATAGAATGCATTTATATAAGTAAATTCTAACATAATACATTACAAAATGCACTTAAATCATAGTATTTTCTTCTATATCCATAAACATTCTAAAAGCATGTAAAAATGTATTCTATCAGAATTACCAGCAACACATGTTTTATGTAATATTTATATTCTCATAGACTGAACATGTGTTTGCATTCTGATAAAAAAAATTCCCAACTTAACCCTTTTCATGCAAATTCTGACAGAATGTCAGCTTGACCCTTTTTCATCAAAGACAAATTTAGAACAATCAAGTATCCAGAACAAATGGAAAATCAAGAACAATCTATCATTATTTAAGTCACATTCTAAATTACAAAATCAACTTGAATGATGAATATTTAAAATTAAAGAAGAATGAGAGCACAATAGGTATACTAGTGAAATCGGAAATCAAGAGGAAGGACAATCGGAAATCAAAGAATCGAAAATAAGCGAATAAATCAAATGGAAAATCCATGTGAAGAATCATAACTCAGTAGCATTCAGAGGAAGAATTGCAAGCAATCAAGAAGTCTTTCCGTATTTGGAATAAAACTTTTTTCGTAGAAATCACAAAAAAATTCATGTTGTTTTTTCCCCTTCTAAATCACTATTCTCTGTAAAAAAAAGATGACTGAGAATACCAAAAATATTGGGGTTTTCCCCTTTTAAATGACTAAATCATTAAAATTCTTGAGAATACACCCAAGTTATAGAAAAACTGGTGAATAATCCAAGATAGGTTGTAGAAGAAGCATAAGCGGTGGATCAGATTGTAGAAGAAGAAGCATAAGTTTTGAATGACTAATTACCTGGTAATGAGTTTTGGATCTTGATGATCGATTCTAGAAGAAGAAGCATAAGCGGTGGATCAGAAACGATGGTGAGTTCGATTTTGGGCTAATGTTCTAAATTTATCTTTGCTTATTGTGTGATATAAGGAATATTAATTATCTACCATAGTTAACTATGCAAAGATTACTATAATACCCTTAAATAATTTATTTATTATTTAATTTTTCCTAAAATCCTATTGGTGCATTCATGCACACAATAGTTGCTAGAAACATTTGAACCTAGCTTTCTCTCTCTCTCTCTCTCTCTATATATATATATATATTATATATATATACATACATACATACATACATGCACACACACATACAATGGTTTAATTGAGAACAAAGGTTGAGAAAGGGAGAGCTATTCTCAATCAATCATTTAATGAGCTTAAAGCTAATAAACACATGGTGGTAAACTTGTAAATACTGCAAAGGATATTAAACCGTTGAGGTAACTTGTGTAATTTCATCCCACATCAAATCTTGTCAGGAAAACCAACATTTTCCTCTTCGAACATATCATCATTTCCCTATAACATGAAAACCATTTGCAGAACGATTCAATCACCGTTTACGAACAAAAACCCTAAAATCAGTCTCACGAAGAACAAATCGACGAAAGTGTCTTCTGACAAAAACCTAAATGAAACCATTTCGCCACAGTTGACGATGAAAGGTAATCATCGATGTTTTTTCTTCGATTTGTAACAATTTCTCATCATTTCTTAACTCACCAGTTGATTACTTGAAATTTTTGTAATCGTCGTTCATTATTAGTTGATTTACAACTAAAAGTTTTGTATTCACACACTTCATTCTTCAAACCAGTTGGTTTACTTGAACTTTTGTAACCCTCCTTCATTTTTGTAATCATTGTTCATTACTAGTTAATCAATTGAAGTTTTTGTAATACTCGTCTATTAATAGTTAATTTATAGATGATTTTACATTTTCTGTTCATTTTCATACATATTCACGACTTTTCTGTTAAAATATAAAAGTTGTTTCACATTTCGCTTACGTTGTTTTAATCTACCGAGGTTTTACAGATTTTCTACTAATACTAACTACTTATCCTTAAAGAAACAATACCAAGAGTCAAGCATATATATATATATATATATATATATATATATATATATATATATATATATATATATATATATATATATATATATATATAAACAAAAAACATAAATGAATGAAAAAGGTAAATAAAATTGGTATTCAATTTAGATCTAATTAACTTTATTCATATGTGATTGACAATATTTGGATGTGATTTTACATAAAAATACAACATAAAATGAAGATACTGAAGATGAATTTATTTTGTTATGTTTTGTTTACTTGTGAACACAAACAAAACTAAGTTATATATATATATATATATATATATATATATATATATATATATATATATATATATATATATGTTAAATTCAGATATGAGTAGAACAAAACTGAGTTACATATGTTCTATTCACATATGGATATAACATAATTTAGTGTGAATATACCATAAATATAAGTTTAATATACAATTATTCATTTATGAATATAAAATAGTTTCTTTGTATATCAAATTCATTTATCTTCTACTTATTATATATACACTTAAAAGTGGGAGCCTTGTCTACAGTGCTTTTTGGGATTTTCTACTTTGGCCACTTTGTTTCTATCATGTTGCCTTCCTTTGACTCAAACTTAACTTTCTTTATTAGCCGACCTTCTTTCTTTTCCCTTTTAATCATCTTTTGCTCTAGAGTACTTTTTTGGGTTTTTTTACTTTGGCCACTTTATTTCCATCGTTCCCTTCTAACTAGGGGTGTTCACGGGGCGGTTCGGTTCGAATAGTAATAAAATTATGAACCATGACCACGGGGCGGGTACCTCATGCGCACTAACCGAAACCGAACCGTATTGACAAGAAAACCGAACCGAACCGAACCATATGAAAGCGGGTAACCACGGTTCGGTTCACGGGTATCCGCTAAAATATAAAAAATTAAATTCAATTGAAACTACAAACTCCATTTTAGTTATCTCTTTCTTAAAATTAGTAAGTCAAAGAGTTTACAAAAAACATAATGAAGTTTAAAAAACGT